AATTTTTAAAAAAAGCAAACCAAAACACAAAACAACTCTTCTCCAGCATCACAATTCGAAGGCATATATTCTTCTGTCATCCTTAGTCATGGTCCAACTCTTTGAAGCATAACAAGTAATTGAGAAGATCATGGCCTGGATGAGGTGCACCTTTGTATCTAGACTGACATTGTTGCCCTTCAGCACTCTGGAGAGGTCCATGACAGCACATTTTCCCAATGCAATTCATCTTTTGATTTTATGACTGCTGGTGTTAAGAGTATTGATTGTGGATCCCAGCAAGCTGTAATTGTTAACAAACCCAATCTCTTCATCTATCATGGTGCTTCCAACTGGCCCAGTGGTGAGAATCTTTGTCTTCTTGGTGTTGATCTTCAAAATGAAGACTACAGTCCTTGACCTTTTGCAGCAAGAGGATAAAAAAAAAATTTGATTATGTAAAGATATTTGACTATTAGATCATTTCAAATTATAAATAACATTTTGGAAGAATGGAAATAAAAGAACACTTAATTGTGCTCATGTAACCAAGAAGCAGTTGTCCAAACAAAACAAGGCAAAACTGCTTAGTGTTAAAATCAGGAAAGGAACTACCAAGGTTATAGCTTTCCCCCCATGTATATATTGACACAATGGTGTTGACAGTGGACTCAAGTGTAATGAGGACGGTGTGGGATGTGGCAGAGTTCAGATCCGTTGTTCATAGGATTGCTATGAGTCATAATCAATTGGACAGCACCTAACAACAACGACATTCAGATTGTATGCTGGGCAAATAATTTTAAGAAACTGGACTATATGAAGAAGAATGTAGCATTAAGATTGGAGGAAAATTAATAAACATGTGTTAGGCAGATGACACAACTGTGCTTGAAGAACATGAAGAAGACTTGAAATACTTGCTGCAGAAGATCAAAGACATCCTTCAATACAGCATACATCTTAACATCAAGAAAACAAAAATCTTCACTACTGGACCAATAGGCAACATCACTAATAGGTGAATAAAAGTTGTTGATATTGTCAACAGTTTCACTGTATTTGATCCACAATCTATATCCATGGTAGCAGTACTTAAAAACATCAAAAGACATGTTTGTTGCATTGGGCAAATTTGCTGCTATTTGATATATAGGTATATGTGCACATGTGTGCATATATATATTTTCATATAGTAAAGCATATAAGGCTGGAAGTCGTCTGCAGCAGCTGGATTCTACAGAGGCTTATTTGCTGGGTCTGGTGAGGATTAGGGTGGAATGTTAACTCGCTAATGGGTGTGAGATGATGTGATCATATTTAAAAACACATTTGGTCAGCAGTATGAGGCTAGAATCCAGTTTGGAAGCTTCATGATTAAAACAAGCTTGGAAGCAGGACTGGCATCCACTTCCGAAATGCCTTGCCTCTGGAAACTCCATGAACGTGGAGAAGCGACGAAAGTTATACAGGTGTTCAGGTCTTTCGTTCATAGGGTCTCTATGAGTCATCTACAACTCGACAACACTTAACGACAAAAACATAGAGCTCTGTTGGCCTAGTGGACAGAAAGTTATGGCACTAAGTTGAGATGTAAGCCATGTTGAAGGTGGGTGATTTTAATCTGCGGCCCTCCGGCCTGTTTTTAATTGTTTTTGGTCAGACATTCTTCTAAGTGGTATTACACTGATCTATTTGCTGTACAGAGGTAATTCGTGGTTGCTGTGATGCTGAACACTGTAACACTGATGTGTCAAATGTGATAATGGTTACCCATGGCAGACAGTGTTTGCTGGAGCTTCTCAGTTAAAACAAGATTGGGAGCAGGAGTGGCATCCACTTCCGAAATGGCTTGGCTCTGAAAACTCTATGAACGTGGAAAAACGACTAAAGATACACAGGTGTTCAGGTCTTTTGTTCATAGGGTCGCTAGGAGTCTACAACTCGGTGGCACTTAATAACAATAAAACGTATAATGGGCACAGTCATAGGGATAAGACATAGATATTAGCAAACACCCTGTGGATTTGGTTTTATGGATTTGAAACTGTTAGGACCACAGCTTATAGGACAGATTGGCATAATGTCATTTATAAAATTCATATTCTGCATCATAGGCTAGTGAGTAGTGTCTGATAATTTAAAAGCTTACAGTGGTCATCTAAGATATAACTTGCTGGTCTATACTTACCTGAGGAAGAGAAAGAAGGAAACAAAAGACTCAAAAGAACTTAGCATGTTCAGGACTAATAGTTTATATAAACCATAACCTCATCTACTCTGAGACCAGAACTAGAAGGTTCCCATCTCCATCTCCCAGCGGTTCTGATCAGGACCACAATAGATGGATTTTGATAGAATGAGAGAAATGTGTAACCGACTTAAATTCTTTTTTTAAGAAAACCAAAACAACCAATTACTAGGTTTTTGAGACTATAGTCTATTACTTTGAGATAGTATATATTAGATGGAAATACCACCTGAAATCACTTTATAGCTAAATAACATTGATTACTGTGCTACTTTAAAATAAATGGTGGACCTCAAACATTGTGACCTCAAAACACTATGATTTTTTTTATTGAGCGATCATGAAGAAGATATGGGGTTTTAAAGACCTGTGGATTGTTTTGTTGTGTTGTGTGGTGTGTGTGTGTGTGTGTGTGAGAGAGAGAGAGAGAGAGAGATATCAAGTCGCATCTGACTGGTACAGGAGGAGATTGTCCCTCCTTCTCCAGCAGAGCATCTGGTGGTTTTGAACCGTGCACCTCTGGGATTGCAGTGCACCTTCTTGCCACTAGACCACCAGAGCTCCCAAGGCCTTGTGTTTTTATAAAACAAGATTAAAGCATCCTGAAAGGAATAGCTCAGACAACAGACGTGAACTTTTCAGGTGCAGAGCAAATTCTGTGACTGTATTAATTGATTTTGCTTGAACCAAGGATTTTCAGAAGAGCAGAGAAGATGTGGCTAGAACTTTAGATTGTAGAAACCTCAGACTACTTGGCTAGGTATTTGGGTTTAAAATGTAGATTGAGAAGTTCTTGAGAATTTTTTTATAAGACTGATGTTAGATGGATCTTGGCTGAAAGGAGGGAATACCAGAAGAAGATCTGTGTTTCATTGACTATGCAAAGGCATTTGACTGTGTAGATCATAAAAAACTATGGCTGACTCTGAGAAGAATGGGAATCCCAGAACACTTGATCGTTCTAATGC